TAAAGGTTTTAACAAGTTGTTCTAGTATCTCAGGTGCCTTGGAAGCTGATAATGCTGCTGATCCAGACAATGTTGTTCATAAATGTTGTAGCTGTAAATATTGCCATTGGGTTACATCTGATAGAGTACATTAAAAATTCATCTGCATCATCTATCAGTTGGTCCAAAGTCAATATCTCTGCTTCCATCCAATTTTTCCGTATCACCATCTTTTCCCCAATTTTTAAAGCTGGGTTTCCCCATAAAGTCAATCTGGCATGGGGAAAAGGGTCAAATCTTTTTTATTAGATGTTCCATTCCACAGCTTTCTAACTGACAAAATTGTTTCCAGAGATATTAGAATTTTAGTATATTTAGTTCCTAATACTGTCCATTCAACCAAAGGTGCTATACAACTTCCAAAGTTGTCCAAATCGGAAAATTAACACCATTTGTTGGCTTCCAGTATTTAATACTTGACAATAGGTAAGCATGATGGTATAGCTCCAGATTCGGAAAACTGAATCCTTCCTCATTAAAGATATTCTTGGAACCAAAGAACCCCATAGACATTTTTTAAACAAAGAATTTATTTTTTGAATATATTTTCCAGATATAAAAACTGGAATTCCTCTCAGAATATAAATTAAACTGGGAATAATATTCATTTTGAGAACATTCACCTTTCTCCAAAGGGTGAGGTTTAATGACTCCCATCTATCGATAACTGAATAAATCTCTCTCTATATTTTATTTATATTACATGTTACTGAGTTATATCTTTTGGTATAGACATACTTAGATATTTAATGGATTCAGTACAAATACAGAACTGATATTCCTTAAATGGATGGGTAGCCAAAATTTCACCTGTTGGCATCAATTCTGATTTGGACCAGTCAATAGAATATCCTGCTATTTGCATCAACACTGGAATAGTAGCATGAAGTTTAGAAATAAACAAACGAATGTCACCTGCAAATAAAATCAATTTGTGTTCACAGATCTTCCTGTGTTGTCTAATAGCGCAAGCCGAGGGTTCCACACAAATGTTAAAAAGCAAGGGTGACTAGTACAGCAAACATATACTGTTTATGTATTTTGTCAAAGGCTTTTTCAGCATCTAATGATACAATTACAAATTGATCTATATTTTTATTCAAGTCTATTAGATCTACAACTAACCTAATAGTGTCTGATGTTTGCCTAGTTTTTATAAACTAGGCAAATTTTTAACAACGAAAAATATCACTTGCTGTAATTTATTTGCTAACACTGCTGTTAAAATTGTAGTGTTGACATTAATCAATGAGATTGAATGATAATTAGCACATTGTGATCTTTACCTGCTTTTGGAATAACTGTACTATAAGCCTGATTAAATGCCAGTGATAAAATTCCCTCATCAAATATCTCTTCATACACTTGACAAAGCTTTGGCACCAAAAGATCTAATTTCCGAGGTTGCCTTTCAAATAACTCAAGAACCTAAAATGTGCTTGACAACTCTGCCCCCGGTGGTGCTGCCGCGCTAGTGCACCCATTCAGAACGCTTCATGACTGCAGAAGGTAACATCAATCTGCCTGCGCTGAGCTCTTTTGCGAGGTTCGTGGAAGAGGGAGGAAGGCGGAGGCGGCTACAAACTTGTGTGCCTCTGTTTCTACTGGAAAGAGCTTGGGCAGAATGAGGCATGACTGAGTGCGTTTTGCGTGGCCCTCTTTGCTGCCCTTTGGGCAGATGTCTTCCAGCTTGTCCTACAAGCCACAGAGATGAATGGTATAAGATGAGGAAGAATGAGAAAGTCAAGAGTTTTTGCGGTCGCAGGAGCCTTGCGGAGACAGTGTCCACAGCACTGACTCAAACGGTGGTCAAACTCCTGGCTTCATGCAGAAAATGGAGGAGGGCTAGAGAGACCCCTGCTACTTCTTGGAAACTAGAAACGCCTCTCAGTCTTCCAGGGCTCCGTGCCCTGGAAGGTAGCTTTGGAAGGTAGTGGCCATTGACCAAAGTACAGGGCCACCACAATGTACATCTGCTGTCTCAGTCCTTCCAACTCTAAAACTCCCTGAGCCACCCTTGGGCATCTCCTCCCGAGGGCACTGGGCTGCTTCAGAGGAGTCTTTGGACTTCCTTGAACCAGCATGCTTGAGATGGCGGTGAAGGTTCCAAACTGATCGGGGGAAGCACGCCGATTCCCGATTCCCTCCCCGTTCAGCAAGGGCTTGGCCCTGCACTTGCAGAAGTTACTGGCCCCTGGTTGTGCAGCTCTGCTGCCCCTGATGACTGTGCGAGGACAAACCAAGGCTAGGCCAGTCCAGCTGTGGTACTGCTTGAGGGAATATTGTACCTACTGAACATTGGGGGTGGGGATAAAAATTTCGGGGGTTGCTGTGCAGGAGCTATAGGAGTTCAGGGTCACGGCAAGGAAAAGGTGTGCCCGTGGCTAATGATGCTCAGTCAATGACTGCCAGTCAAAACTAAGGTACTGTACCTGACGGAGAGGTGGTCTGCAGTTCCCCAGAAAAGCTAGCAGGCTGTTCTTCTTAGGCTGTTTTCAGTCAAAGGGTGTCATGAACCTCCTTAGTTGAGGAGGAGGACCAGGGAAAGATACCCTACGAATCAGACCTTCGAAGCCCCAACAAAGGTGGCGTGACAGCAACCAGTCCTGGCCCGCCTGGCAGGCTCTGACGCGCATGAGGAGTCCCTCCACCCAGCCCTGGGAATGCCAGTGCCTGAAGGGAGAGGATCAGAAAAGGGAGAGGATAGACGTGTTGGGCAACCTTGAGAGGCAGCTGGAGCAACTTACCAAAGGAAGCCAGATGAGATCAGGGCCAGCTGAGCTCAGGCGACGTCAGAAGTTACTACCTTGAGGAAGTCACCTGGCTTGGTAAAGTTGCTTGAACAAGCTTTCAGAGGTTAAAAACATTCAGAGATGGAGAACCCACAACCTCCATAGATAAACTGTTCTATTGTTCAGATCTTACAGTCAGGAAGTGTTTTTCTTGTATTTGTGATCCTAGTTTCGGTAACCATGGAAAATACTCTTTCCTGTAGCTTCCCTTTAGACACATAAAGGTACATGGCTATCATGTCTCCCCTCAGTCTTCTTTTCTCCAGATTAACATCCCAAGTTTCTTCAGCCTGTCCTCAGAGGACATGCCCTCAACTCAAAGATGTGTCATCTTTGTCACCTTCTCTGAACC